TTTTTCCTTATTCAATTCATTGCAATTCTAGCCACCTCAATCCAATTTCGTTTTTCAATTATAGCCTCTTATATCAATTTTAGTTGCAATTTTAGCCATTCATTCATTGCAATTATAACCCTTTTTGTCCAAATCTTGAAACATTAGTTTAAATACGAACCGTCCATCCCTTAAGTGAATCCTAGATCAAATCCTAGCTGCTTATCTTAAACTAATCCAATGGCTCAGATTAAATCTACCTAACCTTCCTATTTTTGGCCTAAAAAAGACCAAACCCATTTTTGAAAACTCATTCTTTTCTTCTCTAGCAGTGTTGTAGCCCCCTCCATCAGTGCGAATCGACGAGAGCTCCACCATTGTCGGTGAGCTCTCCCTCTCGCTCCTCCCGTCGCCCTCCTCCCTTCGCTTTCCTCTTCTCATCTATTCTCTCCTTGCTCCCTCCCGTCTCTTCTCTCCGGTGAGAATGGCGAGACAAATTGTCGCCTCCCTCTCGTCTCTCCAATCAGCGAAAGCTCGTTGCTCTCTCTCTTTCTCAACTGCTCTGGTCAGCGAGCTCCAAGCAATCAGCATCAGCAGCCGGCGAGGAGAGCAACAACATCTCCGGCGAACAGCAACCAGCGCGAGAGACAGCTCCGACGAGCTATCGGCGAAACATCAGCGCACCAACAGCAACGACAACAATGTACCAATGAGATCCTCACATCTCCATTCCTCTCATATCCTACGAAATTCAAGTTCAAAGACGGATCTCAACAGATCCGTCCTAGTAAGTTTTAATCTAAAAGTTTTTTTTAGCTTTTCATTACATCTATGGCTATTATGAGATGAATATTTCAAGAATTTGAGCTTTTATGTTCTGTTTGATCTCGTTACATCATTATTTCATATTCCGAGAAAATTTTAATGTTGGGATTAGTTTGAATTAGGGTATCTTAGGATTTGTTTGAAATTTGGTATTTCTTGAGTTAATTAGTTTGATTTGGAATTGTAAATTAGATTGAACTAGGGTATTTAAGGAGTTGTTTGAATTTAGGAATTTAGGGAGTTA